TCCCACTCCCCATTTACCAGAGAGGGAAAGGGGCTGGAAATGGAGTCAATGATCTATAATGCTTATGTGATGAAGTCTCCATAAAAATTCCAAAGGTATGGAGTTCAGAGAGCCTCCAACTTGGTAAACATGTGAGGGTGCTGGGAGAGTGGAGGCCTTGGTGAGAGCACGGAAGCTCCACCCCCATTCCCACAACCTGTCCTGTGTATCTCTATCATTTGGATGTTCATCTGTATCCTTTATCATATCTTTTTATAATAAACTTATAAACCCAACTGTTGCCTTGAGTTTTGTGAGCTGTTCTAGCAAATAATTGAATCCAAGAGAAGAGTCAAAGGAATCTCTCATTTGTAGACAAGTCCAACAGAAGTTGCAGATAACCTGGGGCCCTATTACTTGTGAGTGGCATCTAAAGTGGCAGGGCCGTCTTTTGGGATTGAGCCCTTAACCTATGGTGCCTGCGCTAACTCTGGTTAGAATCAGAATTGAATCATGGGACACCCACTCAGTGTCACAGACAGTTGCCTAATGTGGGGAAAAAAACCCATATTTCTGGTGTCTCAAGTGTTTTGAGTGTGGTCATATTGTGAGAGTAAAGGAGAAACACACAGAAATAGTGTGTTTTTCCTAAACAAAAGGCCTTTTTGGGTGCCTATGTGGCTCAGTTGGTTGAGTGTCTGTTGATTTCAGCTCAGGTCTCGATCTCAGGGTTGGTCGTGAGTTTGAGCCCCGCGTTGGGCTCTACACTGGGTGTGGAGGCTACTTAAAAAAAAAAAGAAGACCTTTTGCTTTTTGTTATTAATATTCAGTTTTATTGTATTGTGGTTAGAGTGTATTCTTTATAATGCTTTCTTTGCGTGATCGGTATTTATAAATACTCCATGTATACTTCAGAGGAAAGTATATTATCATAGTACAGTTTGATATGTATCAATAAGATCTACCTCACTGATTATGTTAATTAGGCTTTATCTTATTTTGTGTCTGCTTGATCTGGTTCACACTGAGAGCAGTGTGTTTTCTGTTTTATTAAGTTGCTTTTTTTATTACTTGGTACATGGATATTCATTACTGTTTTATCCTATTATTTTATCCATGTTGTGAATGCTTTTTGCATTAAAATATTTGTCATGTTTAATGCTTTTGGGCTTAAAATCTACCTTGTCTAATATTAGGATCATGACCTTGTATTGCTTTTGTTTGCCTGGTGCACATTTGCCTACCCCTTTCTTTTTAGCTTTTCTGGTTAACTTTGTTTTAGCTGTATTTCTGATATACAGAATGTATCCAAATTTTTTTCTTTCAATAGTTAAGTCCATTCATATTTACTTATGATTATTATGCATAATCATTATATGTATTAGCTTTTATTTGTTGTGTTTCTTCAAACGATGTATTTTCTTTGCTATTTTATTTTACTAATTGCTTTAGTTAGAAAAAGCTGTATTTTTCTTTTATTGGTTATCTTTGTACTTACAAATTTAAAAAGATAGTAAACATTCGTTGAGCTTTTACAGTATACTAGGTACTATGCTAAATGTCTTATACAGATTATCTCTTTTAATCCTCAAAACTGACCTATGAGGCAGTTACTATTATTTTCCCAATTTTATGAATAAGAAAACTGATGCCCAGAGAAGTTAAGTAACTTGCCCAAAGTAACTCAGCAAGTGGTAAAAGCCAGAATTTGATTACAGGGAGTATGACTCCAGAGCTAATGATTTTTTTTTTTTTGAAAAACTTTTATTGTTGCATAATTGACACCCAGTAAACTACACATATTTTAAGTGTATAATCCTTCCCACTCATCCCCACCACCCTTCTTCCCAGTGCCTAAACAACCACTGATCACTGTCATTTTTGTGTGTATCTTCTTTAAAAATGTTGGTGGGGTTTGGTTTTTAATCTTTGATTTTCGGAGTTTATGGTGAGTCTCAACATGATTTTCTTTTAATTTATCCTATTTGGAGTGAATTTCTTGAATTCTTGAATTTCTTGAATTCTGTAAATTTATATCTTCAGTCGAATTTTGGAAGTTTTGGTATTATTCAAATATTTTTTTCTGCCCAATCTTTTTGTCCTCTTCTTCTGTGATTCCAAATCTACATTCATTAGGTCATTTAAGCTGTTCCACAGGTCCCTGAGGTTCTGTTCGTTTTCCAGTCTTCTTTCTTTGTGTTCCTTATATTGGATAATTTCCATTGAGCTATTTTTAGGTTTATTGACTCTTCTCTCTGTCATCTCTTTTGTATCATTGAGCTCATCCAGGGAATTTATTTTAAATATAGTATTTTTGAGTTCTAAAATTTTCATTTAGTTCTTTTTTATAGTTTCTATTTCTGTTTGTATTTCCTATCATTTCATTCATTTCAGGCATGTTTTTCTTTACCTCCTGGAGCATAGTTATAGTTCCTTTAAAGTCTTGGTCTACTAATTTATACTTCTGCTTTATTTTGGTGCTGGTATCTGTCACTTGTTTTCATAGGCATTCAACTTTGTTGGTTCAGACTCTTAAGTTCTGTCTCATCTTCTATCAGCTCTGCTCTCTTTTCATCAGCTCAGCAGTTCAGTTCTTGGTTCTTTAAGCCTTGGTGTACTTTTGTAGGCCTGCCTCACACATGTATAAGCCAAGACTTGTGAGTGTTCATACTCAGAAATGGGGAGTCCCCTTCTCTGGCTCTCTTCCCCTTGGAGTTTCCCCCACACCCTCCAGTCTCCCTGGCTCCTTGCGCCAGGAAGCGGTTTCCATTGTTTTTGCCACCTGCATTGCTTCCAAACTGGGGCCCACCTTCAGTGCAAAGCCATGAAGGAGAAAAGAAAACTGGAAACTCCCCTTCAGGGTTGGCATCTCCAAGTTTTGACCCCCTGCTAACAGTGTACCTGCTTTTGTGTATTTTTCTGGGTCCTTAGGGGGGCTGTATGTGTATGTGTGTGATGTATGTGTTTTGTTGGGAGTTAATAGTTACAAATGGAAGGATGAGCTATCAGGAAATTACACCCCCTAATTTGTGTGGGTTTTTTTTCTTCATGCTGATGTGCATAGTTTTTGAAATTGTCATTTACATAGCCCTTATTACCTCTGTTACCTTGGTAGTCAATATTGAGTTCTTTCTCTGAATCCAGCCAAATGCTTTTTTTTTTTTTCCTGTATCATCTTTTTGACACACTGTGTTGATTAGGTAGAAATATGTTGTTCTTAGTTTTTAGTAGTTCTGTTATCTACAATTAAGGCTTGTTTTAAGAACCATATAACAGGAATTTTAAATAAATCAAAGACCTTATAGAAACATCTTGCTTATATTTGTTCTGTTAATCTGTAATGTAGGTAGGCCAGAAAAATCTAAGAGGATAATAGGACAATAAATACTAGCAAAAAGCAGTCATAGTCACTATGAATTTCAAAGGGGCTAATAATAGGTGGGGAAATAATAACAGTATTTCAATATCTCTGTAAGAAGTTAATGTATTTTTTAAAAATTTGTCTAGATACAGGACACAAAGAGGTTCAGTCCTGAAATAGCCACATGACTTTGATCATATGTATTTTTATGTAGTTATCAAGATTGTCATGAGATTCAAATGTTAATTTTTTTATATGTGTGTTTAAATGCAGTTGAAAACACTATTTTAGTTCTGCCCTTTAAAAAAATAAAAACTCTGGACTGTTTATTAATGACCCATAACCTAATGTGTGAATGGTGACATTCAAACTTTAATACTTTATAACATTTAACTTATAATTTTTCCCATTTAGATGGTCTTCTGATTGTTGGTGTTCACTCGGCTAAGTTTCCAAATGAAAAAGTCCTGGATAACATTAAGAGCGCTGTTCTTCGATACAACATCACCCACCCTGTGGTTAATGATGCAGATGCCAGTCTTTGGCAAGAACTAGAAATTTCCTGCTGGCCAACTCTGGTCATACTTGGACCCCGTGGAAATATGTTATTTTCTTTGATTGGAGAGGGACACAAAGATAAATTATTTTTATATACTTCCATAGCTTTAAAGTATTATAAAGACAAGGGACAGATCAGAGATAATAAAATTGAAGTAAAACTATATAAAGATTCTTTGCCACCTTCACCATTGCTGTTCCCTGGCAAAGTAACAGTAGACCATGTTTCTAATAGATTGGTAATAGCAGACACTGGACATCATAGAATTTTGGTCGTCTGGAAGAATGGACAAATTCAGTACAGCATTGGAGGTAAAGTTTGCTTCTAATTATGATACATAATATATTTTATAGTAAAAAAAAATAGTTCAAGGAAATGTATTAAAATTGAAATTTATCACCCTGGTTTTAGATCTAAAACAGGCTCTTATTGACATCTACATAGTCAATAAAATCTGTTAAGTACGTTCTTATTAATCCTGATTACTCAGACTGAATTGACATCTAGTAACATAATAGTCAAAGAGAAGAGTATTTCATCTCTTTGCAATCCTGCTTTAGTAACATATGCAGCATTGGTACATAAAGTAGGGGTATCTGCATTCCTAATGCAAATAAACTAGTCTTATTCCTAAGCCCTGGTGCTATTCTTAGGATGCCTAGATATTGTTCCCCTAGCTCTTGAATTTTTCACATTTCTTCTTTTTCATTTTTGTTAGAGTATGTGTTTTATGTTTTTTTTTGTTTCAGCAACTTGATGTTTGGGTTGATGACAAGCAGTTATAAGAATTGTTGCTTAAAAATTATCTGTTGTAGTAGGTTGATTTAAATGGTTAAAAGGTTTTTAATGGTAGAGTTTTCAAAATGCTGTAAATGAGTATTTTCCTTTGTTAAACAGAAAAACCAGCAGCAAGCTACCTTTCCCAAACATGTTTTTAGGGATAATGGTATCTTGTGATAAATTAAAAGTTATTCTACAATAATTTTTAAAAATTCTATGGTCAGATACAATTAGGAAACATTGGTTAGATCTGTTTAAGAGACATTTGTTGGCGGTGGTGTCACTGTATTCCATCTCTTACTCTGCTTATGTACCTCATGAATATTCAAGAGAGGTTATACTATACAATGTATTCCAATCTAAAGGGACCATGATACTGTCCCTTTTTTCCCCACAGGGAACTCCCATTAACAACAAATATAGTATTATTAATGATAGTAATAATAGCAAACATATATATGCCTGGCATTATTCTAAGCACTTTACCTGTATTAATTTAGTACTCACAATGCTATGAGGTAGGTATATTATTAGTTCCATTTTACAGAAGAGAAACTGAGATATAAAGAACTGGTTTAGATCATCAGCTAGGAAGAGGTAGAGCTTAAACTAAGTTACTTGGATTCTTGAGTTCATATTCCTAGCCACTACATTATACTACTACTCTAACGTCTAGGACAGTAGAGTTCTGCAAAGCATAGTTTGGGAGTGCTGACTTAGAGGCTTTGAATGGCTTATTGTCTGGTCATAGAAATAACAGTTATATGTTTTTATGTTGTATACTCTCCACCCCTGAAACTCTGCATGTATTAGAGAAGCTGAGAAGTAGGCCATTAGACCAGAATCACTCTTTGTCTCTCCAAGTGTTTATAGGATATTATAGAACTTTGTGGCAAAGTGAAATAGTAAATATGAAGGTTTCTTAACCTGGGGTACATAGACTGTTAAATGCTTGAATGGCCCTCAGGATCTATGAACCCCTTGAAATTGTTTGTGACATCTTATGGGCATATATATTTTTATAAGGAAAGGGTTCATAATTTTCATTGTATTATCAAAGGAGTGTATCTTCCAAAATTGTTAAAAATCATTCATCTAGATGTGAAAAGATTAAAATTATTTTTAACTCTTTCTAGTCTAGGTAATAGATAATTAAGATAGTTTAAAAAATATATTCTCTTCTGATATATGCTCCTAAAGTAACCATTATCCAGTAAGCCCTGTCATTAGCAAAACTTACTCTTGAGAAAAACGTATCTTGGGAAATTGTTTTTAGGTGAAAGTATCATGCTATTTATATTAAAATCCCAGCTTTAAATATAAATTTTATTTATTTATTTTGGTTTGATTTATTTACGTTGTAAAATGATTACCACAAGAGGTTCAGCTAACATCCATCTTCCCCTATAGATACAATAAAAAAGAAAATAAAGGAAAAAAAAATATTTGGGGGGGTTACTATGAGATAACTTTTTAAGTGGAAAAAAATTGTCTTGTGGCTATCTTTCTTTTAGGACCCAACCCTGGAAGAAAAGATGGAATATTTTCAGAGTCAACTTTTAATTCACCACAGGGTGTAGCCATAAGGAATAATATCATCTACGTAGCAGATACTGAAAACCACCTTATAAGAAAGGTAATTTTCAATTTTAAGTAAAGTTTTAATACTTCTAATCAGAAAAAAATGGTATTTACTTGCTACATTAAATTTTTGGAATGAGAGGGTGATACTTAAACACTTCAAATCCTCCTTATTCAGCTTTTTTCAGAGGACTGCTTTAGTTTTATTCTTAGGTATCTTGTTTTCCTGTAGTAGTCACAGAAGACAAACCTATCAATCAAGTCTTTTTTTTTTTATCCTTGTTTCAAAGTGCCTAATCACCCCAAAGCTCCTCATTTTGCAGTATTTTCCTACCACTGTTTATAGAGTGATGCTTTGTCCTTTTTTCAGTTAAATTTTCTCAAACCTAGGAAAAAAATCATACCACTCCCACCACCCTTCAGCTCTAATGCTTTGCCTGGAAATACTTACCAGTCAGTCTTAAAATTTGTTTTACCTCATTTTTTAAAATTTTTAAAGATTTAATTTAGCACAGAGCACGAGCAGCAGGGAGGAGGCAGAGGGAAAGGGAGAAGCAGACTTACCTGCTGAGCAGGGAGCTCGATGCGGGACTCAATCCCAGGACCCTGAGATCATGACCTGAGCCAAAGGCAGATGCTTAACCAACTGAGCCACCCAGGCACCCCTTGTTTTACCTCATTATAAAAGTTATATATGATCTTTTTTATCAAGCATGAATTAATACATAAAGGTAAAAAAGGCTCGTACCATCTATTCTAGCTCCCTAGAGATAACTAACTATTGTTAAAATTTTTGTCTTTTCAGTAATTTTCTATTCCTATACAAATAAATTTATATTTAAAAGACTGTCTCTAGAGAATCCTTTTTTAAACAAATGAAATCATATTGTACATACATAATCTTCTGCAGTTCTTTTAAATTTGTTTTCCATATTAGTCATATGAATGATATGACTACATAGTATCCCATTGTAGAAGTACTTAGTTATTTTAAACATTTCATATTAATGAATATTTTGGCTATAATCCATTGGCCTTTAAGTTGCTGTCTATTTAGAAAATAATTAAGTTCATCTAACCCATCCTGCCAAAACACATTATTTCAGATACTTCCTTGCTTTTCTCAGTTTTTTTCTGTATTAATATTTGTGCCCATTTGGCAATGTTATCATGTAAAATAATAGGAAAAAACATGTGTAGAACTTGTAATACTACTGTAAGGTAAATTTCAATGAGGTCATGAAATTTGTTTTTACTGTTGAAATCTTAAGCACCTAGAATAGGGGCTGGCCCTTATAAGTGTTCAGTAGGTATTTGTTGAATGAATTTTTGAGCAAATAACCTATTTAGTGAAATATTTTCTCAAGTGTGTATTCCTCTTAATATGAAAACATGTTATATGAGGCAAGGATTTTGTGGATTTGTTAAAGCAGATTTATTCTTTAAAGGTCTTGGAGACTTTGTTCTTAGAGACTTTAATATGTTAATATATTGTGAATACATTAGTGGGGGGATATATGTGCAGTATTTCTAAATTTATTTGACAAAAGAGCCCTTTTTAGGCAGAACTTTTTGTAGGACTAATGATTTTATGGTATGTCATGATTTCCCACTTTGGGAAAAAATGCCTTTCTGTTGTTACCAAATCCTTAAAGGTCAGTGTTTCTTCATCATTGTATTTTCAGGGTTGTCTGCTTCTGTAATTCATCATAGTGTCATGGATATCTAACCAGGTGTTGAAGTAGTAAGATATTTAGCCCACAACATTCAGGGTATACTTGTCTTTTTTAATTCTATGTTTTTCTCTTGCTTTAGAACTTAATGGGTTTTATGAGGGTTCTAGAGAGAGAGGGGTGGGAGGATGGGTTAGCCTGGTGA